GGTGGAGTGCTAGCCTTGAGCTGAAGAGCTGAGGGACAGTGCCCAGGCCCAGAGTTCAGGCCCCAGGGTGACAAAAACAAACAAAAAAATCATCCAGGAAAGGTTTCCATTTTATAAGTCAGAAAGCTGGTGTAGAGGCTCTTTTAGGCATGCCTCTTTAGTCCTACATAGTTTATTTTTTACCACAACCTATATATATATACATACATACATATATATATATGTATATATATATGTATGTGTGTGTGTGTATATATATATATATATATATACACCTTACCTGCCTTTGAGATTTTTACATTGATAATGTAGAATTAGAAATACAAGGGCTGGGATGTAGCTCAGTGGCAAAGCGCTTGCCTAGCAAGTGCAATGTCCTGGGTTCGATCCCCAGTACCAAAAAAGAAAAGACAAAAAAAATACAGTTTAAAAAAAAAAAGAAATACAAATACTAGCTGGGTGCTGGTAGCTCACATCTGTAATCCTTGCTACTCTGGAAGCTGAAATCTGAGGATCACAGTTCAAAGCCAGCCCGGGCAGGAAAGTTCATGAATGACTCTTATCTCCAATAAACCACTTAGAAAACTGGAAGTGGCAGTGTGGCTCAAGCTGTAGAGCCCTCACCTTGAGCTGAAGAGTGCAGGGACAGTGCCCAAGCCCAGAGTTCAAGCCCATGATCGACAAAAAAAAAAAGAAGAAAAAAAGAAAACGAAATGCATATACTGTCATTCTCCTCAATATAAACATTTACAATTCTATAATTAGGATGACCTTAGCATCCCCGCCACAAAAATTTAACCATGTATTCAGTTAAATTAATGTGCCTATTGTTTGCAGGATCCTGAGAGCTATATGCTTCTATATTTTTTCATAGCCTATTAAGAATATTAATAGTAGCAAGCACTTACCTAGAATTTATTCTGTGCTAAGACTGAAGTATAGAGCCAAAGAGGAATATAATTCAGAGACAGTGATGAATTCATGTCACTGAAAAGTATGAATAGCGACAGCTGGCAGCTTTTAGATCAGCAACAAATTGAAGTTTTAGTTTCTTGCCATTCCTCAGGAATTTGCTATACTTCCAGAGTTTTGGGGGATGCAATGTAGAGTAATTTTGTTGCTATACTATACTTTAAGATTAACATCTCACAGTTCAGATTCCTAAAATTTCAGATAGATTTTCATGGTTAAGAAATAAAGGAGAAAAATGCATGTTAGCTCATTTCAGGGCAGTCTAAGACTTTATCCAATGTAGGAATTGGTCATTTATTCTAAAATAACAATAACTGGTTGGTTTTTGTTTTGTTTTTGTTTTTCTTGCATTTAAAAATTTACTTAAAGGTGCTGTATAGAGAGGTTACAGTTATATAAGTAAGGTATTGAGTACATTTCTTTTTGAACAGTGTTTTTTGAGTCTGGTACTGGGGCTTAAATTTAGGACTTTTGCTTGGCTTTTTCTCTCAAGTCTGGTGCTCTAACACTTGAACCACACCTTTACTTCAGGCTTTTTGCTGGTTGATTGGAGATAAGAGGCTTGTGGAGATAAGAGGCTATAGACTTCAAACCATAATCCTTATATCTCAATGTTCTGAATAGTTAGGATTACCGCGTCAGCCAACAATAATCATAGTTTTTGAGTGCTTTTTGTCAGCTGTTGTGGTAAGTACTTTAATAATATAGATTGCTGAGTTCTTACTATTATAGCAGTGCTACTTTTTCAAATTATTCTTCAGAATAATCTAAGAGGAAAAAGGTAGTATTTTTATTTCACAAATGTAAGGTCTGCCCTGGGTCTTGCAGGCCCAGTGCAGATACCTCCCTACCTCTTGGCTAAGTTTCTGCCCAGTATCCTGTGTTACCGAGGTAACTGGCACACCTGGAAGCAGTCATCTCCCTCTCCTGCTAGGTTACATCCTAGGCCACCTCTTGTAACGACCCCCATCTGACCCTAGGAGGGTCCCAGGCCCTGAGGTCACATGTAGATCCAATGTGGCCACAGCTTTCCCTCAACTGGCCACACCTCTTCCTGTCCCTGGCCTAGATAGTCCTGGCCCAGGGGTAGTTCTTCCCTCTCCATCATGCACAGGTAGGCAGCAGTTCAGTACATAAACTTCTTTTCTTGCCTGAATACTGTGGGGTGTTCTCTTCATTGCCTACCTAATAAAACCTACTTATTTAGTATACCTTACAACAAATAAGTAGGTTGGTTACTTTGAGGTTGATTAATTTGAGGTCACAGAATTTGTAAGTGAATCATGGTGCTGACCCAGGGTTATACCCTGAACTGTTATATATCCAAATACTTTATATCTTGAGTCTTTTTATTGCTTTTTTTTTTTTTTTTTGGTCCGCCATGGGGCTTGAACTGTGGGCCTGGGTGCTATCACTCAGCTCTTCTGCTCAAGACTAGTGCTCTACCACTTGAGTCACAGTGCCACTTCCGGTTTGGTTTTCTGGTCGTTAATTGGAGGTAAGAGTCCCACAGACTTTCCTGCCCTGGCTGGCTTTGAACTGTGATCCTCAGATCTCAATCTCCTGAGCAGGTAGGATTATAGGTGTGAGCCACTCGCACCCGGTTTTTATTGCCTTCTTTTTTTCTTTTTCTGTTTTTTGGGTTGTGGGCTTGAACTCTAGGTCTGGGTGCTGTCCCTAAACTCTTCAGCTCAAGGCGAGTGCTCTACCACTTGAGCCACAGCGCCACTTCTGGTTTTCTGAACCACAGTCCTCAGATCTTAGCCTTCTGCGTAGCTAGGGTTACAGGCGTGAGCCGCCGACATTCAGCTATCACTTTTTTTTAATATCTTAAATTTTTATAATAGCTCTTTGAAGTATAGAATCGAGAAGTAGGCTTTGAAAGAGTAACTATCCAGCTATCACTTTTTTTTTAATATCTTAAATTTTTATAATAGCTCTTTGAAGTATAGAATCAAGAAGTAGGCTTTGAAAGAGTAACTTTTCAGTTACCTGTTTTTTTTTTTTTTGGGTCTGGTCATGGGGCCTGAACTCTGGGCCTGGGTGCTATCCCTTAGCTCTTCAGCTCAAGGCTAGCACTCTACCACTTGAGCCACAGCGCCACTTCCAGCTTTTTTTCTTTTTGCTTATGTGGTGCTGGGGAATCGAACCCAGGGCCTCATGCATGCAAGGCAAGCGCTCTACCACTGAGCCACCTTCCCAGCCCACCTGTTTCTGTTTATTTCACTCTAAACCATATATTTTTATTGTGCTAACTCCACTTTGCCCTAACCAATAACAGAATCCCCAGTACCATAGCATTAAACTCTTGTACTCAGGAACATAAACCAGTGATCGTTTGTACAGCTTCCTCTCATAACCCTACTGCTTCTTGTCTTGTGTCTCAGGGCCATTTCTGAGCAGTAGATATTTTGAATACTTCACTGAACAACCAGTTCCAAATCCTGTCATCAAGTTCTGCGCTCTGGTGCCAAGTGGTAAATTTTCTTCTATTTCTACCTCTTAGATAACTTCACCTGTAGAAGGAATAAATTAAACTAATGTGAATAAATAATAGATTAGTGTTTTGTTATTGCATCAAAATGAGAAAAATCAATAATAAAGATATTTATCTGGCAGGACTATTAAGAATACCAGCTGGTAGTGGTGCTGTGGCTCAAGAGGTAGAGCGCTCACCTTGAGCTGAAGAGCTGAGGGACAACACCCAGGCCCAGAGTTCAAGCCCCACAACCAACCAAAAAAACAACAACAAAAAAAAGAGTTCAAGAATACCAGCTTAGCCTGGGTGCTGATGGCTCATGCCTGTAATCCTAGCTACTCAGGAGATGGAGATCTGAAGATTAAGGTTGGAAGCCAACTTGGGTAGGAAAAACTATGAGATTGTCATCTCTAATTAACCACCAAAAGATAGCTGGAAGTAGAAGCTGTGGCTCAAGTCTTAGAGCACTAGCTCAAGTCTTAGAGCACTAGTGTTGAGCAAAATTGCTCAGAGACAGTACTCAGGTCCTGAGTTCAAGCTGTAGAACCAGCACACACACACACACACACACACACACACACACACACACACAATATTTTAGCAAACCAGTATGGTTGCTTTACATTTGTTCAGTCTACTGTTATTTGTTAAAATGTTATCCTTATGGGGCTGGGAAGATTGCTCAGCGGTTGAGCACTTGCCTTACATGCATGAGACCCTGGATTGGATTTCTCAGCACCACATAAACAGAAAAAGCCAGAAGTGGCACTGTGGTTCAGGTGGTAGAGCGCTAGCCTTGAGCTGAAGAGCTCAGGGACAGTGCCCAGGCCTAGAGTTCAAGCCCCACGACTGACTCTTCCCCCCCCCCCCCAAAAAAATGTTATCCTTACCCCACCTATTTAAGTGCCAAATGGCCAAACACAATAGTAACTTTTAGCATTGTTAGAATTAATTATGAATATGAAAAGAGCTTTGGTGAACATTAATTCTTAACTGAATTTTAAAGTATTAGACCTGACTATTAGTTTTATACAACAATTTCTATTTACTGAGTACCTTTTGTATGTCTGAAATTGTGTTTTTTTTTTTTTTTTTTCCTCTGTCAGTCACAGGCCTGAACTCTGGGCCTGGATGCTGTCCCTTACCTCTTCAGCTTAAGGCTAGCACTCTACCACTTGAGCCACAGTGCTACTTCTGGCTTTTTCTGGTTATGTGGTGCTGAGGAATCGAACCCAGAGCCTAATGCATGCAAAGCAAGCACTCTACCACTGAGCCTTCTTCTCAGCCCCATGAAATTGTGTTTAATAAATACTATTAAGGTAGTTTTTACAACAATCCTATTATAAGATAGATAGTAGTTTCAATATTTTAAAAATGAAAAAGCTGAATGAAGAAACATATCATATAGCTTATAGTTTGACAGCCAGCTTTCAAACCTGATCTGTCTCAAACATTTTTGTTGTTGTACTATTTGATACTTTTGGACATTTGACATTTATTCAGGTAGAATGTCTTAGTTGAATTTTTTTTTTTCCCCTTTTCTTGGGGTTTGAAGTCAGGGCCTGGCTGCTGTCCCTTTTTTGCTTAAGGTTAGCCACAACCACACTTCCACAACTACACTTCCAGCTTTTTGGTGGTTAATTGGAGATAAGGGTGTCATGATTTTCTTGCCCGGCTGGCTTTGAAGCATAATCCTCAGATCTCAGCCTCTTGAGTACTAGGATTGTAGGCATGAGGCTTTGAAGCATAATCCTCAGATCTCAGCCTCTTGAGTACTAGGATTGTAGGCATGAGCCACCAGCAACCAATTGAATGTCAACCATTTTTAAGATGGAGAAAGAAAAAGACTGTGGTGTTTGTGTTTGCTTGAGCATCATAGAAAATTATAGAAGCCTGCATTTAAATGTACTGAATTACCATATTTTTGTTTTGTTTTCAGGTATTAGATATATATTTTTTTTCATTGAAGAGAAATGAGTGTAACTACTATTGCATCAAGAGTTGAAACCTGGCTGTTAGCTACATGGCATGTTAAAGTACCTCAGATGTGGCTGGAAGCTTGTATTAACTGGATCCAAGAAGAAAATGATACTTTTAATTTGACTCAGGCACAAATTAATAAACAAGTATTTGAACAATGGCTGCTTACTGATCTGAGAGATTTGGAACATCCTCTTTTACCTGATGGCATTTTAGAGATTCCAAAAGGAGAATTGAATGGGTTTTATGCTCTACAGATTAATTCTTTGGTTGATGTAAGTCAACCTGCATATTCTCAGATACAGAAGTTGAGAGGAAAAAATACAACAAATGATCTGGTTACAGCCGAAACGCAAGTTACCCTAAAACCTTGGGAAGCAAAGTCTTCTCGAATGTTGATGCTACAGCTCACTGATGGAATTGTACAAATGCAGGCAATGGAGTATCAGTCTGTTCCAGCTCTTCATAGTGATCTTTCTCCAGGAACAAAAATTTTGATTCATGGAAACATTTCTTTCCGTCTTGGTGTGCTCTTGTTAAAACCAGAAAATGTGAAGGTCTTAGGAGGTGAAGTAGATGCTCTTTTAGAAGAATATGCCCAAGAAAAAGTACTTGCAAGGTTAATTGGGGAACTTGATCCTGTAGTCTCAGTCATACCAAGTAATGCTACTGAAAATATCCCCAGAGTTACAGATGTTATAGATCCTACTTTAGGACCTTCTGATGAAGAACTTTTGGCAAGTCTTGATGAAAATGATGAACTTGGGGAAAACAACGATATCTCCTTGGAAAGGTGTTTGAACATAGGCAGTTCCACAAATACTATTCAGATGAGACAGTCAAGTTTTGAGCCAGGACCTATTTCTCCGAACCCAAAGGAGAAACCACCAAACCAATCTATGTATTTCACTGATGTGAATTTAGATGACTTTTGCCTGGAGGAGGCCTTACTTTTGGAAGAAACTGTCCAGAAAGAACAGATGGAAATCAAAGAATTAGAACCACTGAGTTTGAGTAAAAACACAGCTAAATGTATAGAGAGATTTTCACATAAACCTAATATATCAGGTGACTTTTCTTTGGCTTACAAACAAGGAGACAATAGTTGGGGTGAAAACAAATTATCTGACCAAATGACTCATGAAGATAAGTCTTTAGGTTATCCATCTGCTAGACATCAAAACAGTAATATTTCTTTGGGTCATTGTAATGTACCTCTAGCTCATGATTTTACAAATAAAGATAAGGACCCAGAGACAGATAATAAAATAAAACAAACCGTCAGCAGTTCAGGTGGACATTTCTTAAGTAATAAAATATTAAGTAGAGACATTGTTAACTGTGTACCAAAAAAGAGTTCACAAATTTCTAGTGAAAATGATCACCATTTACAAGCTTGTTCAAAGTCGGTAGAGAATAGCACTGATATTTCTCTTGCTATGGATTTGCATTCTCCACCCTTTATCTACTTGTCTGTCCTAATGGCCAGCAAACCAAAGGAAGTTACAACAGTGAAAGTCAAAGCATTTATTGTGACTCTAACTGGAAATCTCTCGAGTTCTGGTGGCATTTGGAGCATCACTGCAAAGGTTTCTGATGGCACTGCATATTTAGATGTAGACTTTGTAAATGAAATACTGACTGGTTTAATAGGGTTTTCAGTATCAGAAATGAAAAAGTTAAAAAAGGATCCTCTTAAATACCAAAAGTTCCTTGAAGGTTTGCAGAAATGTCAGAGAAATCTAATAGATTTGTGCTGTCTAATGACTATTTCATTTAATCCTTCTTTGTGTAAAGCCATGGTACTTGCATTAGAGGATGTTAGTATGGAACACCTGGAGAACCTGAAGAAGAGATTGAATAAATAATTTGCCAAAGTATTAGAGAACAAATCATAACAGGAAGAAAATATTTAGAATTAAATTTGACCCAAGTTTACTTTTGAAACTTTCTTTTGGTGAAAAGCAAAATCAATGAAGTTTCATAGTTTATTTAAATTTAATTAGAAATGTTTAATCGTATGTGTACACTTAATTTTTTTAACTTGGTTGAACCTAGATTCATACTAGGTGAAGGGTTGTACTACGTAGTACTCCTGAATCCCTTGGTGATTTTCTTTTAGATAATATTTAGTAGTCCCACTATTCTTAAGAAATTTGTTTTCACTTGTCATTTCATAGAAGATGATTTCTAATCATTATTAAAAGCTGGTATTTATAATTTTATTTCAATACTTTAAGTACCCAAAAAGTTTGTTTATAGAGTTATTAGAAAAAAGTTAAAATTATCAGGATATAAGATGCAGATTTTTTGCTGGTTTTTGATAATTATAAATATTTGACATATTTAAGGTAAATCTTGCTAACTAGATATTACTTTACAGAGAGATAGTACTACACACTGAATTAAAAACATTGTATTTTAAGTCTGCCAGTGGTTTTTTACCTTCAATCCTAGCTTCTCAGAAGTCTGGGATATAGAGGATAAGGGTTTGAAGCCAGCCTAAGCAGAAAAGTGCTTGAGATTCCAACTCCAAAAATCATCAAAATTCCCTCTCTGAGGTATGGCAGCTTCCTGAGTTCAAACCGTGGTGCTAGAGTTGGGAAGGGGAAGAAAGAACAGTATTTTAAATGGCTTATTAAGAGCTTCATTATTAAACACTTCATTTTTTTTAACTAAAGTAAATGGTTTTTCCATACCTTTAGGTATAATTGTCCCATTTTTGAATTAGCTATACCTGTAAACTTTTCTTTAATTTTGTTGTGCTAATTCTTTTAAAGGGAGACTGTTTACCACTCTTCTACTTTGCAATAATAAAATTATATTTAAGAGATAAAATTACTTTTTTAATCTTAAAAATTTGAAGTGTCTTGAATTAAAAAAATAATAAATGCTTAAAATGAGGATGTTGTGTTTAGTTTTTTAGTGAAAAGAATATAACGGGAAATATCTGGAAAATAAATATGTATATAAAATATATACAAGAGCCAGGAATTGGCATCACACAACTGTAATCCTAGCTACTCAAGAGGCTGAGATCTGAAGATGGCAGTTTGAAGCCAGCGTAGGCAGGAAAGTCTGAGACTTTTTTTTTTTTGGGTCCGGTCGTGGAGCCTGAACTCTGGGCCTTGGTGCTGTCCCTCAGCTCTTCAGCTCAAGGCTAGCACTCTACCACTTGAGCCACAGCGCCACTTCCGGCTTTTTTTTTTCTTCTGCTTATGTGGTGCTGAGGAATTGAACCCAGGGTCTCATGCATTCAAGGCAAGTGCTCTACCACTGAGCCACCTTCCCAGCCCCTGAGACTCTTATCTCCAGTTAACCACCAAAAGGCCAGAAATGGCTCTGGCTTGAGCACAAAAACCCAGAGACAGCACACAGACCAGCATCAAAACAATGTAGATGTGTGTGTGTGTGTGTGTGTGTGCACTTGAAAAATATGGAAAATACTTTAAAATATTTTCTACTGCTGTTTGAAGGTTGATACTTAGCTCATATGTGCTGTAATAGTAATCTGGTCTGTATCTTTTTTTGTTGTTTTTTGTTTTTGTTTTTTTTTGGGTCCGGTCGTGGGGCCTGAACTCTGGGCCTGGACACTATCCTTCAGCTCTTCAGCTCAAGGCTAGCGCTCTACCACCTGAGCCACAGCGCCACTTCTGGCTTTTTTTCTTTTTGCTTATGTGGTGCTGAGGAATCCAACCCAGGGCCTTAGGCATGCAAGGCAAGCGCTCTACCACTGAGCCACCTTCCCAGCCCTGGTCTATATCCTTGTATATCTTTCAGTATAAGAGACTGAAAATGGATGGCATTACTTTTTGGGCCTGGACGTTGTTCCTCAGCTCTTCAGCTCAAAGCTAGCTCTCTACCACTTGAGCATAGCTCCACTTCTGGCTTTTTCTGCTTATGTGGTGCTGAGGAATCGAACCCAGGGTCTCATGCATGCAAGGCAAGCGCTCTACCACTGAGCCACCTTCCCAGTCCAACAACTGTAATTATATCTTATTTTCTCTCTTCAGAGTCAGTCACTGAAGAAAAATACCAACCCATCTTCTACGTTGGTTCTCAGAACATTGGTTCTCTGTATCTCTGACCTGGATTATTTCTGTAGTTTACTAAATGGTCTTTATCTTAATTTGCTCTCAAGCCACTTTGCCTAATGTTGTAGAGTAGTCCTTAAAATAAATTTCTTATTTTCTCATTATTACTAATCTCCTTTCATTCCCTTCAATTACAAGATAAAGTCCAAACTTCTCAACTGTTTGAAAGGCCCTTTGTAATTGGGCTTAAATTTTTTAAGCTTCATCCTTTTACATTGCATTCTACCTACCTGCTCTGTGCCCAAGTTTTAGTCATTCCCAATTTTTTGTAGTTCCCAACTGTATACAGGAACAGAACCTCTCATTTTTATACTTCCTGCCTCATCAGACCATTTCTAATTTAGATAAAACCTCAATTGCCCATTGTAGTGTTCCATAAATTTCATTCATGCTCTCTTGTGTGTCATTTCATTTAGACTAATATGTATTGTGCTTGTTTGTTCCTTTGTTACTCAACAGTTGTATTTTATGCAGGATAATTCTTGTTTTTTGTTGGGGGGGGCGCGGTTTGTGGGTTGTGGGACTTGAACTCTGGGCCTGGGTGCTATCCCTCAGCTCTTCAGCTCAAGGCTAGCACTCTACCACTTAAGCCACAGTGCCACTTCTGGTTTTCTGAGTGGTTTTATTGGAGATGAGTCTCACAGAGTTTCCTCCCTGGGCTGGCTTTGAACTACGATCCTCAGATCTCAGCCTCCTGAGTAGCTAGGATTACAGGTGTGAGCCACTGATTACTGGCACAGAATAATTCTTGTAGGGGGCTTTTCTGTATTTTGTAGAATGGTTAGCAATCTCCCTGATCTGATCCCTATCAGATTCCAGCAACATCCTTCCAGTGTGTCAAGCAAAAATCTTTATAGACATTGGAAGATATTTCCTGGTGGGAAAATTCCTCCACTTAGGAATCATTGCTGTTTGAATAAACTGCTTGAATTAATATGGTTGAATTATGTGGTTGTAATACCAGTATTGCATTGATTGAACTGATGGTCTTCATTAACTGTGTAATACCTTTTGATGATTTCCCATCATATATTGCAATAGCCCCATACTCAAGGCCCTGGAACTTTGGTCTACATAGACCCTTAAAGACTTGGTGGAGGTTCTGTAAGGTGTGCCAGTGGCTCACACCTATAATCCTAGCTATTCAAAAGGCTGAGATGTGAGGATCAAGGCTCAGAGCCAGCCCTGGCAGACAAGCCCTTGAGACCAAATTAACTAGACTATAACCAAAGAGATAGATGCTAGATAGGTAGACTCACTAGATAGACAGATAAATAGATGTATATTATATGCTGGAATAGAAAAAAAAAGACAAGATTGAAAGATTTTAGGAGAGAACAGTGTTTAAGAACAAAATAGAAATTCTAAAAATAATGTAATAACTAAAATGAATTCAGAATTTAACACCAATGAAACAGCTGAAGAGAAGTAGTGAACTAAGTTTTCTCAGAAGAGAAAAATTCAGAATAATGCATACAGAGACAGGAATAAGAACCTGAAAACAGTGTAATAGAACAGGGTAAACCTGAAGCAATTGGAGGTCCAACAATAGGGAATATAGTTAAAAATGCTTAGGTTATTTCCTAAAGCTTAGGAAAATCAAGCTACAGATTTCAAAGGCCCCACAAACCTCAAGCAAAATGTAATAAGTTGGGGCTGGGAAGGTGGCTCAGTGGTAGAGTGCTTGCGTTGCATGCCTGAGGCCCTGGGTTCGATTCCTCAGCACCACATAAGCAAAAAGAAAAAAGCCAGAGGTGGCGCTGTGGCTCAAGTGCTAGAGCGCTAGCCTTGAGCTGAAGAGCTGAGGGACAGTGTCCAGGCCCAGAGTTCAGGCCCCACGACCAGACCCAAAAAAAAAACCAAAAAAATGTAATAAGTGGAATTATAAATATGCAAATGTTAGAATGAAAAAAAAGCTGGGCACCAGTGGCTTACACCTATAATCCTAGCTACTCAGGAGGCTAAGATCTGAGGATTGCAGTTCAAAAGACAACCCAAGCAGGAAATTTCATGAGATTCTTAACTCCAATTAATCAGCAGAAAGCCAGAAGTGGCGCTGTGGCTCAAGTGGTAGAGTACCTACCTTGAGCTGAAGAGCTCAGGGACAGTGCCTAAGCCCAGAGTTCAAGCTCCATGACCAACCAAAAAGTCTTATCTCCAATTAGCTAGTGGAAAAGCTATAAGTGCAGCTGATGGTTCAAGTTGTAAGGCACTATCCTTGAGCGTCAGGGATAGTGCTCAGACCTTGAGTTCAAGGCCCTAGTACCAGCACCCACAAAAAGTGCATTGGATAAAATACAGAAATTTTCACACAAAAATAAGCTCTAGCGAACTATACACAAATATCTTTAAGCAGAAAGGTGTTATTAAATGGAAAGTTGTGTGGGTTTGGTTTTGGTTTTGGTTCATTGGAGATTGAGTCCCCTGGATTTGCCCAGTCTTGTTTCAAACTTCAATCCTTACATCAGCTTCCTGAATCAATAGGATTGTAGGCATGAGTCACAGGTGCCTGCTTCACGTAAAAGTTATGATTATGTTAAGATTGTATTGTTATGATTAGATGATATAATAAATATATTAAGATATATCAAAGAATAAGGAAAATAAAAGTGATTGCAAAACAGAAGTGACACCTTGGAGGTCATAAAGGCCAGAGAACTCCGGCTGGGAAGGTGGTTCCGTTGGTAGAGTGCTTGCCTAGCATGCATGAAGCCCTGGATTCGATTCCTCAGGACCACAAGAGCAGAAAAAGCCGGAAATGGCACTGTAGCTCAAATGGTAGAGTGCTAGCCTTGAGCTGAAGAGCTGGGACAGTGCCCAGGCCCAGAGTCAGGCCCCAGGACCCACAAGAAAAAGAAAAGGACCAGAGAACTAATGAACATGAAAGAAAAACTCATGTTAGTTGAGACGAGGATAATCAGAGTAAAAGTTTTTCATTCATGGAAGTTAAGTTGTAGATTTATATTGAACTTGAACATTCCAAGTTGTATATTGTGACAGGAAGGGTTTTTTTTTTTTTTTGTCGGCCATGGGGCTTGAACTCGGGGCCTGGGTGCTATCCCTGAATTCTATTGTTCTAGGCCAGTGCTCTACCACCTTGAGCTGCAGCTGGTGGTTTATTGGAGATAAGAGTCTCACAGACGTTCCTGCCTGGGCTGGCTTCAAACTACAATCCTCAATCTCAGCCTCCTGAGTAGCAAGGATTATAGTTGTGAGCCACTAGTACAGTTTAGCAAGATTTTTGAAAAGAATTTATTACAATGAAGGTAAGAAGACAAAAATAGTTTATAAAAGAATACTAGTCCAAATAAAAGTGAGAAAGGAAAGAACAGAGCATATAGGAGTAAAAATTGGAGAGATGATAAATTCAAATGTATCAGAAGTTGCATTTAACGTAATGGATGGGCTGAGACTGTAGCTCACTGGTAGACTGCTTGTCTAGTATACTTTAAAAAAGCTCTGGGTTCTATCTCCAGAAATGCAACAAGAAAAAAATTATAGAGCTGGGAATGTGGCTTAGTGGTAGGTGCTTGCCTAGCATGCAGGAAGCCCTGGGTTCAATTCCTCAGTACCACAAAACAGAAACAGCCAGATGCTCAAGTGGTAGAGCGTTAGTCTTGAACACAGAGAGTCAGGGACAGTGCCCAGGCCCAGTGCCTAAGCTCCAGGACCAGCAAGACCAGCATCAGGTCAGGCACTGGTGGCTTATGCCTATAATCCTAGCTACTCAGAAGCTTGGTATCTGAGGATCAC